GGAAGTACCAGCAATTTGCCTTAAGGCACGATGCATACACCACTAGCAGTGGCGTCGGAACAACGCGGGCTGCGTGGGCTTGAGCCCACCCATGAATTTTGATGGGGGGGCTCAGCCCACCCATGAATTTCAAAAAATTATATGGCCTAATATCTCTTTAAAAAAAAAAAAACGAGACCACTGGCTGTCTATCTAAAAAAAAAAAAAAAAAACGAGCCCACCCATCAAAAATTTGGTTTCGACGCCACTGACCACTAGTTTTGTTTGTTATTAGAGTCAGTAGTGTTATTACTGTTATTCACTTTGTTGATAGTTGTTTATAATGTTTTGTAGTATGTTCGGTCCGGGTGCTTTTCTGCTCGGTATAGTTTATAGTTTTCTGATTATTGTTTTGGTTTCGTAAACTGTGGCAGGGGATATACGTAAGTTCTTGTCGTTAAATTGTTCCGTAATATTTTGCATTTCGTGTACATTTCATCTCAGATCTCCATATGACATATTAGCATTTTGTTTGTTGATGTTTTCAAAATTTATTGCCAATAGTCCGCTTTGTCTGCTGCTGTCGTGACGTCGTGGTTTTCAGCTAGTTTGAGTGGCGGTATGGTTGATGTTTTTCGCGTCAACCTTTTAGCGGTTTGCCCAACTTTGAGTGGGTCAGTGTTTATGTTTTTAGTCCGAATTTGTTCCGGTGATCGCGTATCTCATTAGAAATACATTTGCTTGTCTGTTTACGTGTCCTTTTAGTGGTCTGTCACTAGCAAGTTGCCACAGTTTCTTGTGTATTTTTTTAATTAATTTTTAAAATTATCTATTCGGGCAGTTGTTTAAATGATGTCGTTTTTGAGTCTCGTCGTATCGGTATTGTTCGTTGGAAAGAGTCTGTGTCAGATGTATCGCAGCCACCTCGATGTCTGACTCAATAGGTATCGTGTATAGAATGTGTTATTTGTAATATGTCTCTGAAAAAAGGCCGACATTGAGCCTCCCAGTGATAGTCAAAAAAACAGGGTTATGGGGGAGTTAAAAAGTGTTCTTGTTGTCGGTTCCGAAGTTACGTGTAAATTTTTCGTAAGCGGCGCAGGTGTTGGGAAAGGCCTGTATGTTAGTTGTCTCCTGTGCGCTTCGTTCTCTCTTTTTGCTCTATATTTCATAATTAACGGCACTTTTTATAACCCTTTTTTATAACTATATTTATCAAGGCAATACGATCAAAAATGTAAGCATCGTGCGCTATCACGGAATAACGTACAACGACTCCCGGCATTATATTCACGAGCCGAATTTTATCACGGAATTAGGGACAAACGCGTGGTTCAGCAAAATGCCGATTATTTCTATAAATGACGTTCTACGACGAAAAATCTTGTTTTATAATAATCTTAAAAGTCTAATTAATAAAATATAACAGATTTAGTTCGTCCACTTTCCTATTTTCTCTAAAATTCGTCTTTAAAGTCAAACGTTCCTTAACATCCCGTAATATGGTACGTTTATTTTACATAATATGATATGAAGAAATAAATTCGTTATTATATATATAATAATTTAAACTTTATTGATTTTTGACATTATAAATGATCACGTGAAGAACTTTTTTCTGAATATTTACTAGATACTTTATTGTTACATGTTAATTTTATTTAATATGAATCATTTAATGATTACACGCATGTGTTGTATCAATACAATAAAGTCATTCATTATATGAAATCTAAGCATTTTAATCAGAACCTTTATTGGCTCTTTATCGCAAAAAATACAAACAATATTTTTGGTCATTTTTATTATTTTGTTATGTAGCATTCCCAATATTATAAAAATAATATTGAGTTTTAAAAGAAAATATTAGATGTTTATGAAAGAAATAATTGAAAATACATTTACGTATATGTAAAGAATAGCTTTTTTCATATTATACCCATTTCATATTATGCTTACTATCATGATTATACCATTTATTTTCTAAATAACAAAGAGTAGCAGAATAGCGGTTGCAAGTCTAGGCATAAAACTTGAATGAATATATAGCGCATTAGCAAATATAACAATTACTGATAGTAATTACATTAATACAAATTAGCTTAGGTGCTAAAAACCTGCCGAATAGTGTCCGAATATCGCTATTCGTTGCAAGCCTAGTTTAAACTTTTTTGAAAAATTTGAAAAAAATCAGATTTGTGAGAATTTTGAACCTTTTGAAAAAAAATTGCATATTGAAAATATTGAACCTCTCTTTCAAAGCAAATGTGCTGCATAAATATTCAATGCGCGTTAGCGCTGCGTCGCAGTCTTACGGATACAGATAGTTACGGAATATAGATAGTTTTTGTGCATGT